GAGAAAAAAATCGTAGATGATTAAGTGTGGAGTCTAAAATCATCCAACTTCACCCGGGGTGCGGAGAAGAGAAGGGGTTAACAAGAAAACGGCAAATGCGCAACAATAAGAACAGGTCTCTGGAGTTTATGGAATTGCGCAGGATGATAAAAGATTTTTAAAAACCACTGGCTGTCCACCTTTTGTATCTCACGTCCTAAAGAACACGGGTCCCACCGCGACACAAACGGCAGGACCCTCTCAAGGATCCTATGACCCCCTTTATCGATTGTGTCAAGATTTCAAGGCCATACATGATCGCACAGCCGCATTACTGGGAATAAACAGAATAAACAACCTGTCCCTTTGCAGCCGGACACTGAGAGAATACCGTTGATTATCCGATTTTTTTTTAACTGCTAGAGCAAACATAAAATGCCACGGCGATCAATCATGTGAGTCCTTTTCTGAAAGCCTCCACATCCCTTCTGGGTCCCACCCGCTAGCTCCCCCTTCCCCAAACTATAATTTTAACCTTTTCTCCCTTCCCCTGTTTGGTGCCGCTGCCCCTCCGCCCTCTTCCAAAGGTGGGCTGTAAGCCCCTTGCGGGCAAGGCCTTTTTTATCTTGCCCTGCAGCCCTCTCCGTCTGCGCTCTGCCATGGAGGCAGAGGTTTATATGGAGAATGGATAAAACGGGCCACAAACCAACAGACGTTGCCCGTTTGCCCTTCTGAGGCATCCAATGTGGTTTGGGAGGACCGAAGGACCTCGAACTGCCCAGGGTTCCCCCTCCTGAAACGCCTTTCCTGCCCGTTCTCAGCATTCACAAGAGTCAGATCGAAAGCCGCCCTGTCCTCACCACAAGGGTGAGGGCCGTCCCCTACCTGGAAGGTGACTCAAGGACAGCCAAGTCTGTCAGCTGCAGGGTCATCCCAGGACAGGAAAGGCCTGATCCTGCTCATTCTCACCGTCCCCGCACAAGGCGTGTCCAGTCGTGACCAGCAGTGTCTGTAGAATTATGGAATGTTTTTTAAAAAACAGCACACAAGACACATACTTTTTGACTGTTATTTCAAAATGTCGCAAATGTCAAAAGTCCCCTCTAGGCATGTGCAGAGGGCAGACCAAAAACCAAGCTGGGGAAAAGTGCAGGGAACAGCTGCCAATGCACATATTCGCAGGGAGGGGGGGATTTGAAAGCAGGAACACAACAACTTTGGGACTGCCCCCACTAAATCCGATTTTTCTTCTCTTTTTTTCACACCTTCCGGGAAACAGAGGCATGAGCAAATCCTGTTGAATATTCATGGGGGGGGGGAAGGAAATGCCACCCACTACGCACAGCAATCCTAAATATAAATAGGACTAGAAGCAAATGGATAAAAGACCACTTATCCTACATGGTTTCTTTTATCTGCTTCCTGCTTTCCAAATGATGGCCTTTTTGACTTTAAAACAACAACACCAGCCCCCATTCCCGTTGAAACAGACCTCGGAAAAAATAATGGGGAAGAGATTGGCCCAAAAGAAATGTCTAAAAACAGCTTGGAAACTTAAGTCTAGCCAGGTGCCTTTGGCCGCCTGGGGAGGAGCTGTCAAGGTGGGCGAGAAATAAACCCAAAAAAGGGCAGGAAATGCAGAGATCAATCTTGCTTTCGGCTCTTGAACCCTTCTCTGGAAGACAGCCTTATCTCTACTGCTCTTCAGAAAGGGCAGAGGGAGAAATAGGCTGAAAGGAGAGACCGATCCTTCCAAGTGCTTCCTGACTCTTGCAGAAGAGAAAACACAGCCTGGCTAGCAAAGCTACCCGAGATATGCAGCCTAGTTTGGGTTCTGGTGGGGCGCCCGGCAAATTCCACGTGGAGAGGACTCCGGCACCCAAATGTGTGGTTTGGGCGGGTGTGTCAATAAACCCAGCAAATTTAAACCCAGAAGAGTCGCTCGGGATTCAGGAGAATGAGAAAAGAGTGGCTGTTTGTTCATTTTCCTTTCCTTTCGCCCTTCGAGTTAGGTTTAAAAGTTAACCCTTTTTTTTGCATTTTCCAGGAGGGACTCCCGGCCTGTAAAGTTTGCCAAACACCCAGGATGTCTCCAGGCATCTTAAAAAAAGAGAGAGACCGGTTTCATTGGAAATACGTTTTTCTAGACTCCTGTAACTCTTGCCATCAGATGCAAACGCTTCCAAACCTCTTTTGCATGACAGCTGGCCTGCTTTTGTGGAAGGTTAGCTGGATAATCCTAATACAGGTACTGTACTTCCCGCTAGCCGGAACTTGTTCCGTTTGGTTCTTAGGAACCAAGACAACAATCTCTGTTTGTTGCAATCACCCCCAAGGTGCATCTGAAAAAAAACTGTGTCCCCCCCCCCGGGGGGATTGGGAACTCTTAGGAGCATCCAACAGGGGGGGTGCTGTAGGGGAAGAGTGGGGAAAGCCCATCACTTTTCCACTAGCAACAGAGACCAAATGACACTGGCGGATCTTGACTGCTGCGCCCACAAAGTGGATACCCAAGGGCTTTTAACAGTCAAATGTGAAGCCTTCTCTTCCCCTGTCTTCTGATTTCGATCTTGCAGATGTAGACTGGACACAGCCTCTGTTCACACGGCCGGCTGCTCCCTACAAACTAGGATTATCCGAAATGTGCTACTGTAGAGGATCAGCTTGCACTAAATCCCCCACCCGGGGGCCAGTCCTTCCTGCGGCTGCCAAAGAAGGCTCCACAGCGCTGTGGATTGTCCATGGGACAAACCTTCAGAAGCCAGGTGTGGATGCTGGCTGAGTCTCAGGCCTGGCTCTTGCCCACAATTATCCTGCATGGATGGATTATGCAAAGAATATGCAAACCTGCTTAACTCGCACAAGCGACAGGCGTGGCCAAATTGTTTTTTCCCTCTTTGAAAACAAAGTTTGTATTATGTACAATCACCCTTTGGAAAGAAGGAAAACAATCCAGGCAGCAGCCAGGGACCGCCCTGAAATTTCTCATTCCAGTTTACTGTAACTACAAATGCATGTTGCGACTCACCTCTGAGGGGCACGGCCCTCTTTTCCTTGACTACATCTCGCAAAATTTCCATTTGGTGAAGGAAGGGAGGACCCAAATAGGTTTACTCGGATCTAGGAAAGATGGAGAGAGGATTTCTTTACCCCACCTTTTTGTTTTTTGCAATGTATGTCTGTGTGCTTTTTTTTAATAACGAAGGAATACATTCCCTATTATTGTCTGAGATTTAAAAATGAAATTTTTTCCCCAGTCAAAGGGTCCGTCTCTCTCTCCCTCTCCCACAGAGTACTTGCCCTCACCCTCAGCATTTTTACTCAGAAGAAAGGCTTTGAAAGGATTTATATAGGGACTCTCGTAAACAAACCCACAGGAGTGATGCCTATTGCATCAAAGCGCACCCTTTGGAAAGAGGGCGGCGTAAACTCCAGTGAAAGGGGGAAGGTGGGGCCGAGGCGCTGGGATCCAGGCCAGAGCGGGCACTCGCTCATCCTTTCGGCTGGCTGGCAAGGAGCCAGAGGGCCAGCTTGCCACCGGCTTGCCCAGCCGGGCCAGTTTCGCGGCCTGGTTTCCTTGGCAAAAGGAGTCAGCCCTCTGGCGACACACGTTACCGGATTTCCGGCTGGGGCGGGGTGGAGTTGGGGGTCACAGAGCGGCTGGGGAGCATGTCAAGGGTGTGGGCCCCAGAAAAACAACAGGGCAGTGTTAAGAGCCAGAGGAGGCCCCGCACTTGTTATTCATCCCGGTGTGGCCGGCCTCCCTGGCATGACCGTCTGCGCCACAAGGGGATGGGTGGCGCTCTCTTGGCCAGCTGGAAGTCGGCGCTGAACCGGCCATTGATCAGAGAGCCACATGCAGGCCCTTTTCTCCCCGTCTCTGTTTTTCTAAATAGGTCAGTTTTGGTGTGCTGGCATTTCTTTTCTTTTTTTTTTAACTGTAGGAGTTGAATGAATTTTGCACCCTGACTGTGGGATCATTGCTTTCTCAGATGCTGCAACCCATATTCCCCACCCCACCCCATTGTCTGGCCAGTGGCTGGCAGGGAGTCCGGAAGCTGCTGATAGAAAAGAAAAAAAAGGAACTTCTCCATTCTCTGTGAACCTCCAGACCACGTCTCTCCCCCCCCTCCACACACACACACACAAAGCCACTGGATCCTGGCTGCAGCAAGAAGGGCTGAAATCTAGCAATCACAGACCGACCCACTGCATTTCGGCAGCCTTAGTCAGGGAGAGACTGGGAGCATTTTGGCCCATGGAAGGGGGGTCTCGTATAACTCATTCTTCACACACACCCCAACACACACACCCCTTCCCACTTCCTGGGGAACATCCCAGAGAGCTCCTGGGACAAATGCTGACTCAAGATTTCCCAGATATGAAATGCTGAGCTGGTCCCTTCCCTCCAGGACTCCGGGAAACGAGCCTCTTCCAAGGCAAGCAGGAGCCTTGAGGGGTTCCCGCAAGGCTTGGCCAACATCCAAGAGGCTCCTGTTCCCACACGCCTTTTGCCGGAGCCAGCGATGTCTTTTTGCTTCTTTCTGTTCGGAGAGACCTTCCGACTCAGAAGAGGGAGACGTCTTCCGGCTAAAATGTTGCCCGGAGATCCGGCTCTTGGATCCAAGCCGGTCAAGTCCTCCCTAGGCCTTTGTCCCCTGTTTCTAGCAGGGAAGGAGAGCTGCAGAGAACGCTTGAAGGATAGGGGCCCCATTAGGGTTAGGGGGCCAAGACAAGCCCCCATCGCCCAGCCCCTGCTCTGTGCTTTCTCTTCAACCCCGAGCAGGAGGGCCACCTACTCCCCAAAAGAGAACCAGGGCAGAAACGTTAACGAATCCACAAATTTGCACCTAAAATCAAAGCTCAGATCCACTAACAGATTGCTTTCCTAAACAACCAGTCCAGGTTCCTCCGTGAGGAAACCAAAGCTCTCTGGTTTTCAGCAAGAGACACATGGGGGACCTCCAGATAGAGACAGAAAAAGCGACCCCATTTTTTTTTACCCTATGGAGGGAGTGGGAAATATATTTTTTTTCTATCCCAAGACAGTCTTGTTTTTGATATCCTGAAGTTTGCTTCAGAAGTGATTCCAAGGAGCCAGGGAGGCCCCGATCCTGCCCCAGGGAAAAAAGGAAAGAAACAGGGAGGCATTCCGCCCCCCACGCCCTAGCCACTAGACCCACTGGCTGCGCCTCCCCCTTGGCCAGGAACGAAGGCTAAGCTATTTCCAGGCCTCCTTTGAAGTTTCAGCTCTGACTGGCGTCCTTGAAAACGGAAAAGCACGACCACAAGTCTGCTTCTCCACTAAACAGCCCTAAACGGGCTTCGTTCCTAGCAATTATGAAGAGCTCTCAGAACTGGGGAGATCAAACCCTGTGGCTAAACTTAGCATAAGGGAGGCAAGCGTCGGAAAAGCTGAGCCAGAGGAACCCACGGATCAGAGCAGAGAAATAGTTCTTAAATGCAGACCAGCTCCCTGGCTTGCCCGCCGTCTGGTGTGGAAGGAATTTTAATGCTCCCTCCCATGCATAAAACAGAAATTAGAAATGCTCCACGCATCACGAGCCAGGATCTTTGAGCGAGGGCACGCGTCTCTCTCTCTCTCTCTCTGCCTTGCTAGCTTTCTTAAGGGAGAGAAAGAAAAGCCTTGCATTTTTCCAGCTGGGAGAGACACAGGCTGCAGCTCCGTGGGAAAGTTTCCCCCCAAGCCAGCTGGGTTTGATGTCTCTCCTCGCGCTGAAGACTGAGCGAGCGAGAGAGACGTCAGTCTCCAGGGAGGGGGGCTGCTTCCTGTTTCGGCGATGGCGCTTTGCCCAGCTGGAGGTGCCATCCTGACTCAGCCTGGCTGGGATGTGTTTACTGGGTTTGTCAGGTGAGCAAAGGAGGGTGTTTACGGAGGCAGCGAGCGAAAGCTGGGTGGCTCCCAGGCCTGGGAAACAGTGCAGCCATACGGAAGCAGTTCCTGCAGAAAGGGGCAAAGGCCATCATTGGGGCATGAAAGGGGCAGCAGCTCTCAAGATCCCAGAGAGAGAGAGAGAGAGAGAGCACTGCAGATAACCACAAGAGGCCCCACAAGCAACAACATGCTGCTCCCAGCTGTGCTCAGGATGATGGAACCTGACACACAGGCATGCATGCATGCAGGTGTCTGTGGAGAGGTAAACAGGGAGCTGATGCCTCTCGTTCACTTTTTCCACTTGACAAGGCTCCCCCTTGCTAACCAGCTGTCACCTACGCACAGCAAGCAGAAATCTGCACTTCCCTCCCCCACCCATCCCCCGGCCTGGAAACTGAGACGTCCCTGAAGAGGGAGATTTACCTGGCAGAGCTCCGCCTGCCTCACCGCTCTTCAAAGGCCCCAGCCAATTGACCGCCTTCACTCAGTAGGTCAGTGTTTCAGGGATAAACACAAGAACAAAACTCTTCCCACCGAGATGCTCGTTTTCTTGGTCGGAAAGGATCTGAAGCAATAGAAATACAGGTTATATGCCCATCCAAGTATAAAAATATAAACTGTACATATATACTGTATAAATCCCCTGCCCCCAGAAACCTAGCATGCTACAAAAAAGACAACGTTCCGGTCTTTCTTCCTGAGGAGCTGACTTTCTAAGTTCAAGGAGTAATGCCAACCATAGGTTTTCCCCTTGACACAGAGAGATGAGAAGAAGAGGGATATTAAAAAAAAAACAGACATGAAAGCCATGTCTAACAGTCTCAACTGCAAATGGAGTTTGCCACTCTGTGGGAAGCCAGGGGTTTGGCCTTCTTGCGGCTGTGCGTGTCACATTTGAGCATGAATGTGAGTGGGTGGGGGGGAGTGTGGGATTTCAGGTCCCTGGAGAAAAAAGTAGGCTCATATAGGCCTTCCTCTTCCCCCCCAGTCGTCCCCCAAATGTCCGTTTTGCACACAAACACCCCAGGAGGAGTCCGGAGGTCAACCAAAAAATGAAAGCCGCACACAGGGCATTGATGGCAACATTGCTGCCAAAGCCCACGGAGGCCCCCAGCAAAATTTTCCTTCCACGGGGAGGCATTTCACAATCCGCCGGGCCTGGAACGAGCCCCCCCCCCAGCAATCCCTCAGGGGAGAGTTTTATGGTTCAGGCCTGCTGGAAAACAACTCCCGGGGGAAGACAGTGGCGTGGGGCCAAGGCACAGACTGCCTTCAACCCGGGAGAGCTGTCCCGGTCCCGTCAGCAGAGCTGAACTCTGAGCTGGGAGGACCATGGGTCGGATTCTGCACGTCCCTGCTCCTTCCACTCCTGTTTCACCCAGGCTTTTGTCCAGAATCAAGAGGTCTTGGATCCTGTTTTAAGGGACACCTGTTACCTGTCCTTTTGGGGGGGTCCTAGTTACAAGTGATCCCCCTCTCCGGAGGAGGGCACTGGGAAACCAGGAACACCAGACGGCTTGCCGGCCATGGTATGCCTGGCATCAGCATCTCCGTAAGGGGTGGGGGCCAGATAGGTGGAAATCGAGGCAAGGGTCCACCGGCCGCTTCTCTTCCCATCCTGGGTACTTTTGATTTCCTGCCCCAGAGAAAGTGGTGGAACGCGGCCGATCCATTGCTGGGCCACCTCTGAACTTTCCTCTACCTCCCGTCTCCAACTGACCCGGTTCTTTCATCAGGAGCCCCAGGCGATGATGGAACCGCCATGCCGGCCAGTCCTTGGCTGACGTCAGGGCCACGGCTACCCCTCGCCCCGAGAACAACTCTGACGTCAGGGCCCGCCTTTCCCTCCATCCCGCCCGGGCCCTGGGGTCAGATCAACACAGCCCGAAAAACCCCTCGGGGACCAAGCAGGGGGAATTCATATCTCCCTTTCTTCACCACGCTTATTTTGCAAAAAACATCGTGCGAGGGTCAGTGCTTCCGAAAGGCCCCGTCGGCAGGGAGGCTGCGTTTCTCAGAGTAAAGCAACTCCCCTGGGGGGGACCGGTCGTCACCTCCAGACCTGGCCCGCTGACAGCCTCGTGGGATCCACCAAAACGCAAACAGAGACTGGGCAATTTTCCCAGCAGAGATACGCTCTGTGGGTCATCGTGGGGGAAAAGGGCCATGGGGCCACCGCGATCCGTCCTCCTTGACCGCAGGCTTGGGCAAACGGGAGGGGTCACTCAAGAGTTGCCTTTCCCCGCACGGAAGTATATTGAAATATCGGAAGCTGCCTGATGCCTGGTTGGACTCTGGGACCCTTCATTTTGTTATCGCCAACACAGACAGGCTGAGTTGGGGGCTCACAGGGTTTTCATGGAGGGGAGGGGGTGCCCTTCCGCTGAAGAAACAAATTGGGATTCTAGTCCTCATGGACCCAAACAA